TGATAGTCATATATATTTTCTACAAAAAAGTTTATTATAAATAAATTTATTATAAATTTCTTTCTTTTAAAAGATTTTGATTTGAATTTTTTTAATAAATAAATGCTTTTCTGATATGTATGGATAAAATAATACATATTTGAACATAAACACTGGAAAAAACCATGTCGTTCAAAAATGCCAACCCTTGTTCAAAGCTGCCCTCCTGGAGTTTTATGAATTTCCAATGGAAATTCGTAAAATTCCATTGGAAATTCATAAAACTTCATTTGAAATTACTAAAATTCCATTTGAAATTTATAAAATTCCATTCAACTTTCAAATAAATTCGTAATATTTGATTTGAAATTAATATCATTTCATTTTAAATTGGAAAAATGTTATGGGAAACACCCAAAATATGTGTAACACATTAAGGTGGGTAATAATGTATGTACATATTAATGTAATATACTTCATAATTTTATATACTTTATATATATACTTTATGCTTTTTTGCATCATGAACTTTATTGTATGTATTTAAATTTAATTTATATAGATTATTGACAGACCTTAATGTTGATTTTTATTCATTCTTTTAAAAACCGCATATATATATATATATATATATATATATATCCCTTAATAGCCTGGTGGTCCCTTCAGGAACCTCAACTTTAGAGACTTGTTTTTCAAAAATGTTACTTTTTTGCGCAATGTTTATTCAGCAAATATTCTCTTTATAATGTATGCCATCTAGCGGAAAATAAAATCATATGCTTTTCGGTGCTGAACAGCTGATTTTTGACGTTTATCAGAAAAACACACAAAAGCTTCAAAGTGAACAAATCGTGCTTTTTCAAATTGATTGAAATCAAAACTTTTGATCCAAAAGAACCAAATAAAATTAATTTTTATTATTTGTGCACTATATTCAAACCATGTAAATATCTTTTTAACAATATATTTTTTTTTATTTGTGTTTTTCATGCAAAAGTCCTTTGGTCCTTCAAAGAACCAGTAGGCACTCATTAGAGAAGTGAAATTCGTTAGTGCTTTAGCGTCTTTTTCTTATTTTAGTGTTAATTTTTAATTTTTCATAGAGAAATGCTATGTAAATACAAAGATTTTACCACGGCTGAAGAGTTTGAAGCATTCGTCAATGATTTTGAATGGTCAGAAAGTGAAATTGGTGATATATCAGATTATGACGACGACAGTCTAGACGATCCCGATTTCAATATAGTGACAAATAATGATGCGAATATCACTGATCAGTTGGAAGATGATGTGTTCGAAAATGGGAACGAATTAGATGCTGAACAAGTTGTGAGTGTGGAACCAACTGCTGTTGAGAGTGTTCAAAATGAAGATATAGTTGTTACTGGAGATAGCACACGCTGGCATCAAATTGCAACATTTTACAAAGATATCACAATTGACAAGGACTCTTCCGAGTTTAAAAAATGTATCTGGAAGAAAAACCATATGCAGAATCATGCTAGTTGGGTTCAGTTTGGCAGCGATTCTGAATTGACAACAGAAATAATGGCACTAGATAACAAATTTTTTTCTTACTTTGTAAATGACGATATAATTTCTAATATTGTAGGCCAAAGCAATTTGTACGCAATTCAAAAGGATTCATTGAAACCTCTAAATACAACGCCAGACGAAATAAAACGCTTTTTTGGCATTACATATTTGATGTCCGTCTTCAAGTACCCAAGTATCAGGACATATTGGGGTGAATTTGGCATACCGGCTATTATGAATACCATGACGAGAAATCGATATGACAAGGTACGCCAGTTTTTGCATCTAAATGACAACAGTAAGATGCCACGTCCGTCAGCTCAAGAACCAGCTCCTTCACGTCGACGAGGATTGCGTCCACAAAACATTGATCGTTTATATAAAATTCGTCCGCTTATTGATGCTTTAAATAGAAACTTTGACTCTGTTCCAAAAAGAAGTCGTTTGTGTGTGGATGAACAAATTTGTGCCACAAAAATTAAGCACTATTTGAAACAATACTTGCCAGACAAGCCTCACCCGTGGGGCAATAAGTTATTTTTGATGTGTGACGATATGGGATTCTGCTATAATTTTGAAATTTATTCTGGCAATGAAGACCATGTTTTGGAAAATGAACTAGATTTGGGAGCAGCAGCAAATGTTGTGGTGCGGCTTGCTCGTAGAGTTCCGCGTTTCAAGAACTACAGAATTTTCTTCGATAACTATTACACAACTATTCCTTTATTGGCTTATTTACGCACCCAGGGAATCTATGGGCTTGGAACAGTTCGACGTAACCGAATTCCTGGCTGCAAATTGCCAGAAAAATTACCCAATCGAGGAGACTGCGAAGAATATATGACCAGTATTCATGGTATAGATATAACTACTATAGCATGGAGGGACAACAAAGTTGTAAATATGGCATCGACTTTGCTTGGCATCAAGCAATTGAAATCGACAAATGCAAACGACACTGATGACGCGCCTACGATTGCCAGGTATTTTATACTTTCAACAATTACTTACTGAATATAATTTTTTTTCTTTAGATTTGACAAAAAAAATAAGTGTAACGTAAATATTCAGTGCCCTGCGATAATCCACGAGTACAACAAGTACATGGGAGGTGTTGATCTTATGGATTCGTGCTTTGGTAGAAGCCGCATAAGAATAAAGTCATGCAAATGGACAAATCGTCTTATATACCATATGATGGACATGGCCATGATAAATGCATGGATTTTATATAAACGCCAATTCTCTTCATCTCCTCGTACAAATAACATGCTGACTTTGCACGAATTTATCGTAGACGTCAGCAAAGTTTTAGTCAAATCTGGCACACAATCTATAAGGAAAGGACGTCCAAGAAGCACTGGAGAATGTGAGACCCCTGAAAATGTGCCAAAACGAGTTCGGGTAGTAATGCCGCCTAGTGACGTGCGGTTTGATAATGTTGGGCACTTCCCGAAATACCTAACAACAGGCAAACCTCGCTGTAAAATGCCCAATTGCACATCTAGAACAACAGTGTATTGCATTAAATGTGAGGTAGAATTATGTTTCCAATCAACAAAAAACTGCTTTCTAGAATATCATACAAAACATTGAATAAATGAACTGAAATATATATAATTTAAATGAAAATATAAAAAAAATCATATATAGACCATATGCATTTTACTTGTCAAAGGAGTGCCTGGTGGTTCTTCAAAGAACCAACACACAAAACCTCCCCTAAAATGTCCAAAACTCAAAATTGTGAAAAGTCGTAGAACAAACATTGTTAAGGGTCCTAAAATACATCATATAAAATTTTTTCATTGAAAAAGAAAAAGTCAGGCTATTGAGGGATATATATGTATATATATCTTTTTTAAATTTGTCATGTATATATATATATATGTTAGTTTGTTTTTTAATACTATTTTTCACTATATAAAAAAATTCTACCCCACTTATTGTTCAATTTATTTATTATATTCGAATTTGAAATAATATGTTAAGAATTTGAAATGAATTTTTACGAATTACAACTGAAATATTATGATTTACAAGTAAAATTTTATGAATTTCAAATTGAATTCATTGAATTTCAAATAAAAATATACAAATTACAAATGAAATTCTTAAAAATTCAGATGGAATTTTTTGAATTACATATGAAAAGTTTAAATTACAAATGAATTGTTGTGAATTGTCGATTAAATACTCGAATTACAACTGAAATGTTATGAATTGCAAATTGAATTTTCGAATTACATATGAAATTCTCGAATTGAAATTGAAATGTTTGGAAAAACATTTGAAAAATGTGTAGTATTATTCACAAAAACAAATTTCCATGTGATTGTTGTATCGTTTGTTGTACAACAACACTTGCTATTACCTTCTATTATTATACCATGCTATTGTTATACCATGCAAGGTAGGGCATATTTTGTGTATGTGGGGTATTGTTATGAATACCATGTCAAATAAATTCCTAATTTCAATTGAAATATAATCCAATTTTCCCGTACTGCAAGAATCTACCACTTTTCACTACGATAACGAATTTTCCTTTATGATATCGAAGAAAATAAATCCAGTACATTCTTGCAGTAAGGGAACAGACCATTAAATGCAATGAATATGATTTTTTATGGATTTTGTTTCATCCATTTCATGGTATTCCCTAAACGATTTTGGGAAGTAATCATAACATTTACAACTTTTTGCATATATTTATTTTATATTTGACAGAAGAAGCCACTACATACAATATTGTTTTTTTTTACGATTCACCACAAGTTAATCCAAATTGTATTATTTTACCATGGATACATCCCCTCAAAAAATGCGACATCGTACTGAAAACTAAATTTATAATTCCATGCCAACGGTATGCAGAGTATCCAATTCGCACAATTTAATATTGTTGCCAAACCTATATCACGTTCGAAGATGTCGTTTCTCGTCCTGCTCCTGCTGTTAACTACTTCATTTGCTGTGTTTTACTATTATTTATAGCATACATCTATTGCTGTAATTATGACCGTCAATTCGTTTGCCATGCTATAATATGGCCGAACGATTGTTTATTTTTTAAATATTCACACTTGACAAACAGACGGCGCTTTGTAGTATAAGAAACTCCTATGTTCCCCAAAAATAATTTGACTGCGTTAAAATGAAATCTGTTAAAACAGATGCTTTGGTAATGTCTTCATCTTCAATTCATGAATTAATTGTACAATTCTAGTTCATAATAAAAAAAAGAATTACCTTTATTTTAATTATGTTTTTAAAAAGCGAATTTGGCGCAATTATGTTTTAATGATTCTGTATGGTTCAGGAACCAAATGTAGTTAGTTCCGATAGTTCATTTCAATGAACAATTCGTTTGAACCAATTTGTTTGTTGCACTTCATTGTTAGCGTTTGTTGGATTTTTGCCGGGTTCCAAACAAACCATTTGGAATAAAAAAAGAACAATTTGTGGCCAAAAGGAACACCATGACTGGTGATAGTGAAATGCGCAACAATACAAGCAGCACAAGTGATGCCAACAATGGTGGAGGAAGCAGTGGCGGTGCTATTGATGTCGAACACTATAGGAAATTGGTAAAACAATTCTGTGATATGAGGCGCTATCAAACTGCCTTATTTTGGGCCGAAAAGGTTTGCTGTCTGAGTCAAAATGATCCCAAAGATGTTTACTGCCAGGCACAGTGTATGTTTCTGCTAAAGGAATATCATCGAGCTGCCCATACGATACGTTTGCATAAGCTGGAAAAGACACATATACCGTGCTATAATCTATTGCTGGAAAGTCTCTATGAGGCGAAGGAATACAATGAGGCTATTGTGGTCATCAACACGGTGGATATTGAATATTTGGCTTCGTCGTTAATCAATCAACCGCTGGATGGTGTTGGTATGGAGGGTCCAAGTTTGCTGTTCGGTGAAGAGGAGTGTAAGAATGTAAGGCTGTGGAATTTAGGATTTCATTTGAAATATGCTTTAATGCAAGAATTGTATTTTAGGAAATATTGGCCTCAATTAGTTTCCTCAAAGGTAAAATATATGAGGCCATGGATAATCGTGGCTTGGCCATGGATTATTATGTTCAAGCATTGCACAAATCGGTGTACTGCTATGAGGCTTTAGAAGCCCTGGTGCAGCATGAAATGTTGATGGCATGGGAAGGTAAGTGAAATTAAGAAAAGAATAATATAAAAAAAAAACTGATCTAATCGTTTTGAAATTTTTACCATAAAAACATAAGTGCGGAAATTCATATCCAAATCCAAAATTCCACAGGAACCCCCCTTGAATATTATCATGATTTTTAAAACGCTTTAAGCAAATATGGGTATCAATTTTATGCTTTTAAATTGCTGGCTACAAAAACGTAATTATTTTATTAAAGAATGTCCCGTGTCATTTTGAATTCCGCATTTACAAAAATATATATCACCGAAAGACCATATAATCTGGTAAAAATTTCAAATGTGTCTGGGTTGTCCGTAACCGAATTCTTGATATCCGTATATAATATTTAAAGAATTCAAAAGATACCTCGTTTAGACCCGAAAGATTTATTAAGCCAGCCATTCTTTCCTTAAAAATTGAAATGAAATCCAAAAAAAAAAAACGGAAATCCATAAGCAAGACCCTGGATATGTCCTAATGTCCTAATTGACCACAATATAGTGCGTTATTGTCATGCTATTCAAGATAGTTCGTGGTTTTTATTAATAAGTTGGAAGTTGTTTCCGATGTTTTATCCTTTTTCTCCTATAGAAGTATCATGTGATGGAAATTCCGATTTCACAAAAAACAGCATTCATTAATAAAGTTCCAAAAATTCGTGTTATAAATAATGGGTCAATCATAACATAAGGTTATGGCGGAATAATATCAGTGACAGACGAGGATCGCCTGGGGACCACTGTGTTTTTTTAATTCCGATATACTCTAACAGAATAGTTTTTTAATCTGCTTATTTATAAATTAGTTTTTTTTTTTTTAATTTTTAATTTTCAGAAAAAGAACTCATGCAACACTTGCCACTAGAACATCAATCCTCGGAATCCGATGCCAAGTTTATAACAAAATTATATGAAACAAAACTGAAAAAGTATTATGAATCTATTGGACCGGTAAGAACATTTATAATAAAAAAATAAATAAAATGTATCATATATCAAATCTCTTCCTATAGAATACAAATGCCGAAGAAACACCAATTGGTAATATGAGCACATTAAAGTCCATTAAAGAGTTAAATGATAAAATACAAATGACCCGGAACTCAGATGCAAGTATTCACAAGAATGTATTGCCGAAATTTATGACACCAACACAAAATCAAATAATGTCACCCGCAAACAAGTAAGAAAAATATTATCTTCTTTTACTAAGGAAATCAAAGCAGCATATTGTTTATAATTTTAGAGTCCTGGAAGATTTAAAAATACCACCCTTCTCATTGCAAGTCAGTTTATCACGTGCCTCTTCGCTTATCAATGATTCACATCGTTCGCATTTGGAGACACCAAGTCGTAATCGTTCTAAAGATAGTGCTGATAGTCCCACATCAATGTTACTCTCAACTAGCATGCAACGCATACAAAAAAGCACCGATGTTATGGCCGCCGAGGCTGAGAAACTATTCTATGATTGTGAATATAAGAAGAGTTTTAAGATTTTGAATGAGTAAGGCAATGTTATGTAGAAGTCATTAATAGGATATTACATTTATTTTTTATTGCTACTTTTAAAGGCTTCTTAAAATTGATCCCTATCATAATGGTGCGCTTACAGTGCAAATTGGTTGCTTGGTGGAATTTGGTGATTATAATAGTAAGTTATATTCATGATCATTGTGACAATTTTGGAATAACTAGAGATTTTCCGTTGTTGAAAAGATTTAAATGTTTCCACATTTAAGAAAGATATTAATTTAATTTTAAATGTTTATTATATCATATATATAACATAAGCAGTATCTAATTGAAAATATTACACTATCTTATATTTGAATTATTTTCTTATTTTAGAACTATTTTATGTGGCCCACAAATTGGTAGATCGTTATCCGGATAAAGCCATATCATGGTATGCTGTTGGTTGCTATTATGATTTAATTGGTAAAAGTGATCCTGCCAGACGTTATCTCTCCAAAGCAACTTCATTAGATAGATTATATGGTCCAGCTTGGTTGGCGTATGGCCATTCATTTGCCAAAGAAAATGAACATGATCAGGTAAAAAAAAATAAATTTCATTTTCAAAAAATTCAGGATCGTTAGGTCTGTTCCCGTATTGCAAGAATCTACTAATTTTTACTATTTTCTTCCTTATCATACCATATTATCGTAGTAAAAAAATTTACATTCTTGCAGTTTCTGGGACAGACCAATTATTTGTATTTTTTAAATAGATACTTTTTACTACTTATTAAGGAAATTTATCTGTTGGAAACATCTATGAAAAATATTTAAATTTAATCCATAACGTAATAAACAGATGATAATAGGAGTATATGAAGGATACGATACGGCTTGCCTGGTATCATTGAAGGTTGTCTGGAAGTGATAAATTTTGTATAACAAACGAGGAAGATTTCATAGCAGATATTGTGGCTATAGGAAGTTAACTAAATCACATTAATCATATCTACCCCAGAATCTAAGATTTGACAATAGAAGTCAACAGACTCAAAGGAAATATGAAGATATACCTTCCGTCTTCTTTAACGGCTTTCGATTAATAGATTAGCAATTTTTATACATGCTTATAGGCCCATACCCCTTTTTGCCACCATTACATTTTTTAGAAAATCCTCATTCCACCTCAGTAGATACCTATCTCGCTTGAGCAAGACTGTAATGATTGAGGTACCAGCCTGCTTAGAAAGGTTATATCCAGGTCGGTTCCAGGATATAAATAAGAAATTGCCTGTTCGCCGTCATCATTGCGGCACCCAGTACCATAAATCACATAACCTAGCAACGTGCAATTTTTCTCGTCTCCGTCAATTCCAACTCCAAGTTCAAAAAGGCTGCGACCTGTGTCGGTTGTGGGGTTAGATGAGTGGGTTTGGCTGGGCAGTTGAAAAGGTGTACCATGTCATGTGGACCATATGCCGGGCAGATATTGTTGACCGCGCCGTCAATTCGTGCCGAATATGAATTGAGCAGATCTCAGTTGTGCCAAGATCACTCTGGTTTGTTTTGAGGTAGCTGCTGCTCTTCTGCTGTTATTGTAGACGGGTGATCATTCACACGATATTCTCGAATTGCTTCCTCAACTACATCCGTGTAAATACGACTCAATTCTGCTTGATAGGCCTGTTGACCTAGAGGCTACCGTTTGTACCACTCTCTCCAGATCATGAAGATCCTTCTTTGTCAGCTCCCCAAGTGCTGCGGCTAGTGACTTGATAACCTTGTTCCTGATCGCAAATAGATGTGGCATGCGTGGACGACTTATATGTGACCCCTAGTACTTTGGGGCAATTGGTGGTTGAAATTGTGGTCCCATCAACCTGAACATTCAAAGGTAGCGGCATCTCCGCTGTCCATATAGTAAACAGTGTGGCCGTTGATTTAGTGGCGGATATTTAAATATTCCTCGTCCGGAAAATGTTAGCTATATCCATGAGATAGATAGTGGATCAGCTTCTTGCAAATGTGATAAATTTTGGGTCCTGCAATCATCCCAGTGAACGTGGAATTCCAGAAAGGTAGAGGTTAAACAGTTCCGGAGATTTCACCTTTCCTTGGGGGACTCCCTGTTTAACTCTACGGGTCTTCGACTTCTGTTTCTGAATTCGACGTACGACTGGCGTCCACATATATAATTCACGATCCAACGTTTCAAACTTGGCTGGAGGGTTGAACTCTCACATTTACACGGAGCAAGCAACATCGTACTGTCAATCTAGCAAGTACATGTTCGTGCATTTTTTCAACTTGGGGTCTACATTACCTGGAATTTTTGCTACGGATTCTTTTGGTCCGTGTCGGGATTGAGACAAAACCCGAACCATGGTTCTGCTTATTTTGACAGCTCTTAAGAAACTATCTAATCTACCGCTATATACCTTCTAGAGAAATACCGAAGTAAATCCAAAAATTCTAGCAGAGAGGGAGTGGTGATTTCGAAATAGAGCGTATAACCTTTCTACGACCCTATTCAAGAACTATCAGTAGACCTCGGATTTTTGCATATTTTTTATGCTTTATCCGATTGGACTCAAATGTTGTATTCGATATGCAATAAATATGCAAAATATATGCATAAAATATGCCAAATATAGACAAAATATGCAAAAATATGAGCAACATATTTCACATATATTAAAAAAAAAAATGATTTTTCATCATAATTTTTTAAATTTTTTAAAATTGACCTCGAATTTGTGTGCTTTCTTTATTTTTAAGCTATAGAAATCAAATTTTGTATGTATGCATTTCATGGTTCAACTGTTAGATATTTGGGGCATTATGAAAAATTTGTTAAATATATGTATAAAACATGGAAACATATATGAACCGTTATATGGGGATATACTAAAACGTGGACCGATATATCCCATTTCCAATACCAAACATCCTAGAAGTAATAATAATATATGTGTAAAATTTCAAAGTTCTATCTTTAATATTGCGACCTAGCATACCGTGCATATTTTTGCATATTTATGCATATTTATGCATATTTTTGCATATTTTGCATATTTTGCATATTTTTGCATATTTTGCATATTTTTGCATATTTTCCATGGTTTTCCATATTTTGCATATCTTGCATATTTTTGCGTATTTTTGCATATTCTGCATATTTTGCATATTTTTGCATATTTTGCATATTTTTGCATATTTTGCAGATTTTGTATATTTTTGCATATTTTTCCCTATATTTTGCATATTTATCGCAAATCGACCTAGCATACCGTGCAAATTTTTTCATATTTTGCATATTTTTGCATATTTTGTATATTTTGCAGATTTTGTATATTTTTTTTTTTCATATTTTGCATATTTTTGCCTTTATTTTGTATTTTTTGCATATATTTATCGCATATCGACCTAGCATACCGTACATATTTTTTGCATATTTATTGCATATGTTTTGCATATTTTGCATATTTTTTGTATATCTCGTGCATATGCATTATATGCAAAAAATTAAAAAATATGAACCCTTCAAATAATTCTAAATCCTTTGAAACGAATTTGTGTCCAATCAGAATTTCGATATCTTCATTATTAAAAAAATATGCAAATATGCAAAATCCGAGGTCTAACTATCAGTTTATGACCCCGCGGTAATTTAAGTACGGAAGTAACCAACCATTTCCCTTATAGGGTCGTAACCTTTACTCCTAAATTTGATTTTTAATTTCATTTTCTTACAGGCCATGGCTGCTTATTTCAAAGCTACCCAGTTAATGCGTGGATGCCATTTACCATTGCTGTACATTGGAGTCGAATGCGGATTGGTCAAGAATTTGGAATTGGCTGAAAAATTCTTCTATCAAGCAATGTCCATTGCACCACTTGATGTTTTCGTTTTGCACGAATTGGGGGTTATTAAATACGAATATGAATTGTAAGTAGGAAGGAAAGAAGTCTCCCTACTTTTTTTATAATAATTTCAAATTCTAGTTATGAAAGTGCTGAAGAAGTTTTTAGAACAACCGCTGATATAGTTATGAATAGAGCCAAACAAAATAAGGAAGAAGTATCGGCGAGATGGGAACCATTATTCAACAATTTGGGGCATTGTTGTCGCAAGAATAAGAAATACAAGGAAGCCTTGGAATATCATCAATATGTGAGTTAAGGGGTTTTCTTAAATTCTTTAGTTGATAATTCATTTTTTTTCTCCTTCAGGCCCTATTGTTGAAACCCCAAACACCACAAACCTTTACAGCTATTGGTTTCGTCTATGCCCTGATGGGTAATTTAGAGGAGGCCATTACATATTTCCATAAAAGTTTAGCCTTGAATCGAGATTGTATTGTAACCTCAACAATATTGAAGACCTGCATTGAAGATTTTATGGATGAAGATTCAATAATAGATGATATCTATGGTAAACAGGCATGGGATAGCTATTCCGTTTATAAAATCTCAAAAGTTCCCAATCAATTTCCAACAATTGAAGAGGAAGATTCGCCCACGGTTAAATTTACCGGGATGAAATTGAAATTTGATGATGAAGATATATCAACAAATTCGGATAATATTGATCCAAATGTTATTATGGATATGAGTATGGATATTTAAGAGTATGTAGACTGAATGTCACAGATTCAGGGTAAGAGTTTTAAGTTTTAGTTTCTATTATCTACAAAGTAGAACAAAATATTAAAAACAAAAGTTATTAAGAAAGAAAATAAAAATAAAATATTTATTTAAATAAAGAAATTGTTTGATAAAATGTAATGAATTTATAGGTAAAATTATTCTTTGATTGTATACATAATACTGTTGAAAGATTCAAATCATGTCATCCTCGTTTTGACTCATGATAATTTAAGCCACGGAATTATCACCAAAACCCAAGCCAGTCATAATGCCACTAACAAAGCTATTGATGAGAGCATTATCAACAGCGGAGTTACCAGCAGTAGAGGATTGGCCACCACCAACATTTCCGCTTGCCGGACAATCATACATGCGATTAAGTTTCTCAATATCCTTATCCGAAAATCCATCGCGTTGACCCATTCTAGCATCTCCCATGGGTTGCTGAAATGACAAATACAATGATAATCAATAAGGCATTTCAAGTTTTTTTCTAGCATCCACTTACCATAGCAATAATAGTAGGCTGACCATTTGTCGAGAAGGCAGTGGATGAGTAATGCATAACACTACCATAATCATAGGGCACCCCAAAGGCCATTGTATGACTAGCTCTATCGAAATTCGACTTAGCACTGGGTTGGATATTTTGAAATTGTATCGAAACAAATGCATCACGTTCCTCGCGATTTTGTTCATGCAAGAAACCCAAGGCATGCATCAATTCATGCATTGCCGTACCGGGCTTAGTCAAACATCCGGGCGATTGCAAATTCACCTCCTGCTTGCCACCAACACGACCCACCGAAGACCAACATCCGGAATTACCACTTACAATGGATATGTAATCCTGTTCCGAGGTGCGTGGCACAAATCGAATACATGTACGACGATGATATTCAGCAATGGCATGTTCAATGATTGCCATATCCTGACCATTGAAATTACCTCGAATCTCATAGGGCACAACAGCATTTGGCCAACGAGAACTTTGAGTTGTCAGACCGTTTTTAGTTGTTACACCATCGGTGGGTACTAAAATGTCGCCTTCCAAATAGGAACCCAATTCTTCAGGATTTACTGAGGAGTTTTCCATTTTATAATTTGCTACCAATTCGGCGGTATCCTTATGATCGGGTTTTCCAAACAGGGCCGTGCCATAGAAACTTAAATCAATGACATCTTTCGATTTCGGAGGTGCTTCCAAAGTATTGGCCGAAATTTCCACAGTATCTTCATCATCATTCAATTGTTTTAATATTGGACTGGCTTTTATATAGCTCACCACCAAAACCAAGGACAATAGAACTGGAGTTAGTTTAAACATTTTGATTTGGAGTTGTTATTCTACGAATGGGAATGGGTTAAGCTATTGCTAATGTTTGCAAGGGATAACTGATGATGTACCTTAAAACTTTTTCGGTATTTATACCCACCCAGCATGTGGTAGCGTCCATATATTTGGAAATGGTTGGAAATTTGAATATTATCTGTTACATATTTCCGCTTCGTTCTTTTTCTTGCTACGACACGTCTTATCGTTTCTTGTAAATCGGCGGTTTTCTTTAAAGTTTTCCATGAATAAATTTCTTCGAGTTATCAGAACGTTGGAGTAAAAGAAAACCCCGTTTTGAGGGAAATTCTTCATGAGTTACTGATTTTTTTTAATTTTTTTCAACCCCTCGAAATATTTGATCAGAATAAAATTCTGATTTTGGTATTTTGGATTATATATTTCATGTGGCTGTGATTTGGCATGGTGGTTTCTTGAAGGGTGCATCTCTGTGAAATTTTTGTGTTTCGAAGATTTTATCCGTATTTTCCAAACGAGAATTGTAGAGATTTGGGGAAACATATTTGCAGAATATTTCTTATATGGGTCCATCTTTTGACGGCATTCGGTATTTCGAAGGTTTTATTCACATTTCCTTAACAGAAAGTGGCTATAATTTAAAATTTCTGGCCCTTGGTGAATAATAAAACACATTCCCCCAACCGAAGTTACTGTAATTCTGGTTAAAAAAAAACTTCTTCCCAGAAAATGTCCATTGTAGGATCCCACTTAATTTACTTGCCCTTAAATTGTTATTTTATTTCCTTTGTGCGGTCGGCCCACTCTTTCTAGTACCTCCCCTACAGTGTCAATATTTGAAAATTTGTTAATCCAGTTACGAAATCCAAACTTTGCAAATCGTAATACTTTTGCCAAACCAAGATCGATTCCGAAGAGTCAAATTTTTAAAAACTTGTAAATTTAATTTAAAGTGAATCCACGGTTATCACATAGTAATATTCCACCATACCTATCCGAAGATTGGGTCTATAGGGCAACTTCTGTTGGTACCTCAATATAGATGCCAACTTTTTGATAAAAACATATAAAGTCATCGCCCGGTATACTTCCTTACTTAGCTGGTTTAAGACAGAACATTTGTTCCATAAACCGAGCTTAGAAAAGATTTCCGGCGCGTCGGGCTTGTGCGCAGATCTTCCCATTTGAAAGACCATGTTTCGAGATGTTGTCTTCCACTTGATCTTTCCATCGAATTAGTTGTCTTCCCCTCCGCGTGAAACATCCTCATCCATTCTCAATATAACCTAGCCCAATATTCGTTGCAGCTCGATACTTCTGGCTATGTCGATGTCCGAGAATAGATGGTGCAAATCATGGTTCATTCGACGCCGATATTTAAAATCGACGCATATATGCGCGTACATCTTTCAGAGAATCTTTCTCTCACTCAAAGAGCTGTCTCATCTGCCTGCGTAAGAATCCATGCTTCAGATCCATAGAGTTTTGTCTGGCGATAGGTGGCCCTATTTTTGAATTGCTTACTCAGACCATAGTACATAGCATCAACGCTATTATTCTCCGTATTTCAACGCTGATGTTATTAGTTTTTTTATGACAGTACCGAGGTATATAAAATCGTTCACTACATCGAAACTTTAGTTTTCAAGTTCCACATTTGGTCCGAGTCTACTGGAGATCTTGCGCATGGATACCATCAGCTTGTGCCATTTACTGCCAGTCCCACATTGGCAGACACCTTCTCACGACAAACTGTCACCTTGTCTGAATCTTCGTTCGGTATTGAAGGGTTCCGAGAGGTCCTTTCCGACTTTAAATGTTGACCTTGTGCCGGTAAAAGTTATCCAACAGGGCCGTATTAATTTTGCAGGGATGCCGAACTCAGACATGACTTTAAACGCGTCAGAACGGACTGGGAAGTCGAATGCGGCTTTATAGTCGACGAATAGAAGGGTTTTGTCGTGGGTCATTTCCAGGATTTGGCGCAGAGTGAAAATATGGTATATAGTGGATTTTCCAGGTCTGAAGCCGCATTGGTATGGTCCAATAATGTCATTGACCATTGGCTTTAGTCGTTAACACAGCACGCAGGATAGCATTTTATATGCGATGAAAAGTAGACTAATTCTTCTATATTTGACACGTATCGTCTTGTTTCATTTGTTTTTGCTTAGCTTACGGGACACAGGATGCTGAGGTTCCAATCATTAGTCATGCATTTTTCACTCTCTGACCAACATCGGTTCGGCTGGTAATCCATTGGCACCTGTTGCTTAATTATTCTTCAGCCGATTAATAGCTATTCTGACCTCATCTTGGTTAGGCGGTATACAATCTATATCGTCATTTATTGTTGGTTCTGAGGTATCCCCTTCATCGCAACTATTTGATACCAGAAACTTTTCAAAGTGCTCCTTCCAGATCTTCTGTATCTGTCACCAGGTTTACTTCTTCATCCCTACAGGAGGATGTGCCCGCACCAAATCGATATTCGCTCTTCGTATCGATCGAACGTCTAAAACACTGGATGAATGCCTTCTGTCCATCACAACATGAACAATTTGATTTCTCGTTGTTTGATCTGGAGAAATCCTGGTGGCTTTGTGTATATCGAGCTGCTGGAATCTGTTTCTGCTAACATCAATGGTTTTTCTGCCGCGAAGTCCATCAACCTCATGCCGTGGTGGGATGTTTCTTCATGGAGGCTGAATTTTCCGACGTTTATTTCATGGCCAGGGCAGCGGTCATATGTTTCTAAGCGCTCTTAAAATATGCCTTTGCTCATCTTTGTCTTCTGAAAATGAGACTGATGTAGTAGAGCTTTGCTTTAATACAGATTATAGCAATTTGCTCATCTACTGGAATGAATCTGGAGACGTGGCCTTTTATTCTCCTGTTAACCATAGATCCGCAACCGAATTCATATCTCGTTTCATGACAGCTGTAATACAGTACTTAATCGTTTGATTTACCTACGTCTGTCCCTTTCCATTGCATTTCCTGTAAGGCAATGACATCGGCTTTGTACTTGGAGATCGTGGTCCTTTATACATTTGCGGGGAACGCCGACATTAAGGGGGTTTGGTTTTCTTTTTCGTTGCATATCATATCACTAGCTACTAGAGATGACACCGCGGTGTCCACAATTGAGATGAAAGAGGGATCAAGGTGCCATGTTTTAGCCAATCAGAGACGTTCCATGTAATCTATTATCCCCTAGGTCACCCAAAGATCTTTTAGAACAGAAGACTTCTTGAAATCCATCTAGAAATTGGAGTCCTCTTTTTTATTATAAATATTTTTTGTAGTGTATACTAAGTCACGATTTTTTTAAATATCTCTCTCCTACGACCTGCCAGAAAGTCACGCGAGGATCTATAAGGACAGAAAAACTTCTGAAAGTCTTCTATCAATTGAAGATATCCTAAAGGTTTTTTAGACAGAGAACGTCTTCTGTAGAAGGAACGGAATCGTTTATTGGAGCTTTAACAAACTTAATCAGATATTGATAATATGAAAAATCAAATTAGAGTTAATTCAGTTGAAAAACATCCCACATAACGAATAATTGGGAGCTAAACGGAAACTTGGATCAAAAAACGTGACCAAAATCCCAAAATACAGCATATTGGGGGTACCACTCAATGGTAGATACCCCGAAAAATGG